TTTTCTGAAATACACAGCTGGCTCAGTCTGGTCATCGAGTTTCATGCTGCATTTCCTGAGTCACCACAGTATTTCAATTGACCCCTTCAGAACAGATTGCATCTATGTAATAGCCTTCCACAATAAGACTTCTACACTCAAATGACAATGGTCTTTGATTGGTGTGCCCCTTTCTCTGGAGCAGGATTGTTCTACTTAGTATCCTTTCAATAACTCTATCTCATGGAAACTTCAGATTTTCTCAAACCATGAATAAGAGATTGTCCTCCAACCAGACCTTACCAAGACTATGGCATTGTTCATGGTAGAATTCCTTTGGATTTTGTACGGATCATAATAATTCATAAATTACTTGGTCTCAATGTTTTGCTTTTTGTTTGTTTTTGATTCATTTAAAAAGCTACTTTTTTCCTAAACATTTTACTGAACAACCTGTGGCCTATTTAAAAATGTTCTGAGCAGAGGATAATATGAAACCTAATTTCAAGATCCTCTGAACAGTCTTTCATGATAGACATATTTTCCTTCACATAAAAGAAAACTCAACACAATTATGAGTTTACTCTTAAATGCAATTATTTGATTAAGAGCTATTTCTCTCCACTCCATACCCCTGGTACCTTGTGTGCTGCTTGCTCATAGCAGATGGTTATGCAGCTATAAATTTATTGCCTTCCAGCTCCAAATCCACCCTTCATTGCCACCTGGCAGGATGCTAAGTGCTGTCAGAAGGTGCTGGAGAGACAGTGAGGAGGAAGTTTCTCCTCCTGGTATGGTGCTGCTCTCTCAAAAGGATGCTCCAGCTCTTGGTTTCTAATTGTCCAGCCCCAGCAGCACACATGGCTTCTCCAGCATCCAGAAACTGTTGCCCAATCGGCTTCTCCAGGTCCGGCTCCTGCTATGCCTGGTGACCAACGAGGCCCAGGGCCGGCAGCTCCCCCCAGCACTCCCTGGGATGGCTCTACAGTGAACATCCCCAAGAGACACCTCCCTGTGAGCAGCTACCCGGGAATCATTCCAGGAGGCTTTGTGGCAACTACTGAAATGTGGCTCTTCCTCATGGGCCAGCTTTCTCTGGCACCTCAGAGACAGATTCCCACTAGTTTTGTTGGCCCAGCATCACATGACTGACTCCTCTGCAGTCCAGCAAGCCCAGTTGCTGTGCGCCTCCCCACGTGTCTGGATTTGGTCCTGAAGACCTCGGGGATGCTCTATGTCAGCACTGAGGGTGTGGCTGGTCCTTACATCCACTATTCATGTTATTTCAAGATCTCTTGCTTTCTGACTTTCCAATTCTGCATCACTCCAATCCCATTATAATTAATATTTCTTTAAAAAAATATTTACCAATTTGTAAATATTTACCAATATTTACAAAGGGAATCTAAATGGTTACTGGCATATCACCAAACCAATTTTGTGTTTATTTGCTGTTATTATTTAGAGTTACATATTAAAAGGGGGAAATTGAATTGTGTATGACTATGATCCCATGCCACTGAATTAATTCATCTGTTCTTTAATTTATTCATTCCTTTACTAAAAATTTATTGAACTAGTTTGCCAAGCACACACAAATAGATTTCTTGGGATAATGAGAGTTGATAAATAAGCAAAGAGGATCCAGATGATCAAGCCAATAGCAATTTCCTTGAATAGCATATTTCAGAAATACTAGAGTTCAAGATTGTCTTTAGAAGGACAAGAAAGACTGACAATTCAGTCCAAGGTAATATTTTGGTACAGCATTTTAAAGATTTCTCAGTATTTTACAACCAGATGTATTAATCACATCTTAGAGAACCATGATAGGAAATAGTATACTCTCTCCATTTTAAAGATGGATAATCTGAAAATAAGCTTAAGAAACTCAAGACCACAACCCATGAGGAAAGGGAGAAAGTTAGTGCAAACAAACCTATCCATTGGATAAATCTCTCCTTTACGTCCATTGGAGTAATTTTCAAAGCTGTGCTTACAAGACTAAAAGTGCAAGAGAACCTCTAGCCACAAACTTACTACCCACCTCGAAATGGTCTTACCACATCATCTCTCGGCCCAGGAATAAGCAGTTTTGCTCATATTCTGCCTAACTCCTACAGGAGACCACATCTTCCTAAGACTCAGGAATTACAAAAGTTGTTTGAGATCACACTCTGGTTTAAGTGACAAAGACCCAGCTCAGGGAAATGGGCTCACATACAAAGGGAAGCTGGTCTGTGGCACATCCAGAGCCAGGAACCCAAACACCCTCAGGACACTCTCTCCCTACTGCTCCAAATATAATACATTGCTCTTTGTACTTCAGCTTCCTTCTCTCCTGCCAGAGCTCAGCTGGTGGGGTGTGTGTTGGGATTGGGGATGCAGAAGGAAGAAGGGGTGTTGGCATCAGACTAACATTCTTATGGCTTAGTGTCTAGAAAGGAATAAGACAATTGGCTTCTCTTTCATTTTCAGTGTTTAAACATGGGACAAACAATCTGACTGGGACATCCTGGGTCATATACCCCTGGGTATAACAACTGTGGACAAAAGACAGGTACCAAATAGGCATGTCCCAGGCACACACCCAGTTCTTGGCTAGGGGAGAGCCTCTTACCAGAGGATAACACAGATGCTGGGCAGACTAGCAATGGAGCCAGTGCAAAATGCAAGCAAACTTAACACACCACTAGAAAACTAACCAATGTATGTGTATTCTAACGAAATGTCAGATCAAAGCAAAAGATATATATGAAGCTATGAATAGCCAATTTTTATAGACAAATAATTGGCTCTGATAAGGAACAAAGTATTATACAAAATTCATTTAGGTAAACATTTCATTTGTTCTTTCATAAGAGACAATATTTTTTTTAAAGAAAAGCAACAATTTGATTTGAAGCAGAAAAGTGTGCTGACTATTTCTGTTGTATAGTTCCCATGTGTAGTCACACCATTCCCAAAAGAGAAAAAGAAAAAAGACAATCACACCAATATATATAAACTTAAAATATTTATTGTATTTCTTAATATCCATAGCACTCTTTAATCAAGAATATAAAGTCATCTACTTAGGTTTTGCCTTTTAAAGTTGAGAACATTCTCAGAAACACATTATCTTAAAGTAACAGACTGGAATGATAAGCAAATAAGCTTGCAAATAAAGCAATCGTCAATATCATACATTTTTTTGCAATCATAACTCTAACATAGATATATATTATTCTCTAGACTTCACAAATTCTAAAGAATCCATTTTACCAGTACTAGGAATATGCTTTCAATCATGAAGCTGGTAGGAAAAACTATTTTATATATGGAGTGTGCTTCAAAAAAAAAAAAAAAAAGCCTCTGTCTTCCCTCTAATACTGTGCATGACAAAACAATAGCTGTATATGAAGAGAAAGTGACTTCAATGACAACCATCACCCAAAAAACATGAATAAATCCCTATGTCTGGAGCCAGAGGAACAACACAGTGCCCTCTGCTATGCCTGCCTTTGTCCGGCAAATAGCAGTCTGACCTGTATTCAGGGTGCCCAGACTTTTCACCCTATTTTTTGCTGGGTTACCTCTGGGGCAACTGTTTGGTACTAAGAATACCTCTGAGAAGTTATTCCTTACAAAACCTAATCCACTATGTTTATTTTCTAACAATAGAAATTCAATCACTGCTCTTTAAATTCTGGGTTTGCTTATCCTTTCTTCCCCTACTTGCACAGCGTTGAATTAAAAGTACTTCGTTCAAGGAAGTAGTCTGGTTAGAAGAAAGCATTGTTCTATAAGAAAAAGCACTAAATTTAGAAAATTTTCTGACCAGAAATAAGAGAGCCTGAAAAGAATTAAAAACAAACAAACAAAAAGCACACCTGTGCGTTCACTGTGACTGTGGATTTATGATAAATTATCCCACAACCCTTCTTGGCTTATGAGCAGGTATTGTTCAAGTAGCCCACTGGTCCTCAATAATATAGAGAAAGACTCTTAAGGACCATCTGGATATATATGAATACTGCACTGCTTCACAATGAGGAAACTGACTAAATGAGTGAGGCACTGGCAAAACACAGATGGTTGGTTGGCTGGTCAAGGCAAACTTAGGTAGGATGTCAGCACCAACAGGCCCTGCACCGTAACTAACTAGGGATCTACCTAGTTACAGAAAGTGTGGGAGGAAGACAGATGCTCTAGGAAAACAAGATGGAATCACATAATCGGAGGATCCAAAAAAGAAGTCAGAGGAGGACGTAGGAAAATCAATTGTTAAGACAGCATTCCTCCCAATCAAAATTCACTTGCATGTTATCTTCAGGACCCGGTACAATGCTGCCTTGGTTACCCTGCAGGAGGGGTCACTTTTCTCCTTCACTTTTTCTTCACAATTTCACATCAATGAAACTCTTCCTACGGGCCCATCTTGATGCAACTGCATGCAACTCAGTGTATGTACGACATTAAATGGAGAAAAATTCAATGTGAGCACCAATTGTAAAGATATCCTTCTAAGCACTTATAAACAAATATTATAATCATATACACTGAATGGCCAGATTATTATGATCTCTGAACACATAATAATCTGGCCACTTAGTGTACATCCTATGTAATAAAAGGCTAATATGCAAACTGTCCCCTCGACCAGGAGTTCAACCAGCAGGCAGGCCGGCCAACCACTCATGTCCCCTCCCTTGGCCAGGTTGGCTGGATGAATTCATGCACCAGGCTTCTAATATATATGTAATAATATACACATACACAAACACACACACACACACACACTAAGTGGCCAGATTATTTTGTGTTCAGAGATCAACATAATATGGCCACTCAGTGCATATGTTTTTCCGTTTGTTCATTAAAATGTCATAGCATGCTTGAGAAAATAGGTTGTATAAGGCATAAAAGGCTAGAAAAATCTAGTCAAAAGCTGCTCATTCAGTATACAGTTATACTTAATAAAACCCTATGTGGTTAAAATGAAAAAACACACAGCCTGGGACTAATGTTTATTCCATGTTTCAAATTGTGATCTGCTGCATTGGCATGAGTTTTGGTGAAACCTGGTAAAAGAAAGAGAAAAAAAAATAACCAAATTATGAAAAACCTCACAGTACACACATCTTTCCTTTCAGTTTCCAAACATGAAGGATATAAACAACACTGAACATCACCTCTCCATGAACTTCACCTAGAATTTCTTCATTTTTCCACCCTGAGCCAAGACAGAGAACTCCTTTTCTGCTTCCATGTTGTGTACAGTGGTTCTTGATAGCTCTTCCACAATAACTCTTAAATTAAGGACTATTAAGATTGAAACAAGGGGGTGGAGGAGCAGCAGAGGGAGACAAATAAAGGGTCCAGATAACCAAGCTCTGTACTGAATGAATTACTGCACTCTGAGACTACTATCTCTGAGACCTCACTTAAAACTGACATTTAGGCACTCTTCTCAAAATCCTCAGAACAGGTCCAGTCAATCCACAGATTTGTTCAGTTAATATAGTCTTTGATTAACTGGGTACACGCAGGGTGGACAAAACCAGACTTACAGTTGTTCATATGGGGAAAAATACAATTAATAAAGGATAAGGTAAGAATAAACTGTGTTTTGTGTACTCACAACTGTAAATCTACTTTGGTCCACCTTGAATTAATGAAGAGATGTACAGTCAATGAAAAAGTTTTTATCAGAATGTTCATAATCAGAATAGAAATGACAATAAAGCAGTAAAAAGATTCCAAGTTATTACAAAAAAAGGTAATAGCATTAAAGATATCAAATGTTGACTGTATTTATGTTCAATGTACACAACAGCAAATGCATCCCCAGGAGTCTTGAAGCAGAGAAACATAAGCACAGGTCTGCATTTAATGATGGGAGAAGAAACCTCAGTGTAGGTGATCTGGTTTCATTTTCACAGAAGTAATGCCAAGTACAGATTTCTTTATTCAACCTGGCAAATGTCCACCAAGTCCTAGTAAACAACAGTCCTCATGGAATGCACAACAGAAAATATTAAAATGTAGGTGATTTTTTTGAGCCCCTCAAGGATGTGGAGATCGAAGTGGGCCTGACTAGTGTGGGCCAAGATGATGTCTACTAAGAAGGGCTCCTGTTAGCTAACTGGGCTAAACAAACAAACAACAACAACAACAACAACAAAAACACAGAGCCTAGCAGCCATTTCTACACAGGGGCCTATCACACAAACTGCACTTTAGAAAGAAACCTGCACAAAACTACCTACCTGTGCACTGAATTGGCTGCTTGCCAGTGCTTCTGCCATCTGAGCAGAAAGGAGTTCAAGGACTCCTACTTATTTTTATTCAAGAAAAAATTATCTTAAATATAATAATGTTTTAAAACATATTTTTATTGATTTTAGAAAGGAAGGGAGAAGTGAGAGAGAGATAGAAACATCAATGACACAAGAGAATCATTGATCGGCTTCCTGCTGCACACCCTCCACTGGGGATCGAACCCACAACCAAGATATATGTCCTTGACTAGAATTGAACCTGGGACCCTTCAGTCTGCAGACCAATGCTCTGTCCACTGAGCCAAACCAGGTAGGGCTTAACTATAAAAATATTTATGCAATAAACATTAATATTTCAAGAAAAAAGGGATTTTAAATATATCAAAACTGTACTAACATACTATGGTATCACAAAAGTTGTAGGAAATATTAAAAATCTGCAATTAATAGGATAACTTCTATTATATTCTAAAATATTCCCTCTTCTCCCCTGGTTCTATTTTTGTTCATCAGTTTATGTTATTCATTATATTCCACAAATGAGTGATATTTATCTTTCTCTGACTAGCTGATTCCACTTATCATTATGCTCTCCAGGTCCACCCATGCTGTTGCAAATGATGAGTTCCTTTCTTTTTATAGTAGCATAGTATTCTTTTGTGTAGATGTACCATAGTTTTCTAATCCATTCATCTGCTGATGGGCACTTTGGCTGTTTCCATATCTTAGCTATGGTAAATTGTGCTGCTATGAACATAGAGGTGCATATATCCTTTCTGGTTGGTGTTTCTGATATCTTGTGATATATTCCTAGAAGTGGAATTACTGGGTCAAATGGCAGTTCCATTTTTAATTTTTTGAGGAAACTCCATACTGTTCTCCATAGTGGCTGCACCAGTCTGCATTCCAATCAGTTGCACCAGTCTGCATTCCACCAGCAATGCAAGAGAGTTCCTTTTTCTCTGTATCCTCTCTAGCATGTCGTTTGTTGATTTGTGGATGATAGCCATTCTGACATGTGTGAGACAGTACTTCATTGTTGTTTTGATTTGCATCTCTCGGATGATTAGTGACTTTGACATGTTTTCATAAGTCTCTCGGTCTTCTTTATGTCCTCTTTCGAAGACTCCTATTTTAACCAATAGGACTGAGGCTTTCCTCATCCAATAAGAGTTGCACAGCTCTGACCAACCAGAGTGGCTCTATTCTGATCAATCAGGGCAGTGCCTTTTGGACCAATCAAACTGCAAGGTTTTGGATCCCTCATTTGCATCAGAACAGCTCCATTCTGGCTCCGGGAGTGCATTTTTTCTTCCTAAGGTTCTGTATCCCTAGCTAAGCTGAAACACGTAAGATGTTTCCCCAGAGCAGAGTAGAATAGACCAGCACTGGCCAGAGAAAACGAAAGAACAGCAGAGCAGCAGGGCACAAAGCAGACCATAAAGGAGTAGAGCAAGACTGTCTAGCTGGAGAGGGGCCTGACCCCAGGGCTGCCTCAGGCCCTGCTGTATCACAGTTGAGCTATTTTGCACTGAATCAAGTTTCCTTCTCCGCAGCACTCCAAATTAAGGGTTCCTGTTGGCCTTGAATTAGAGCCAAAGAAAGCATTTTGCCTTCCAGAATAAATACTTAATATTTTTGTTAAATTGAGGAATGAACAAATGAAGGAATGAGTGAGTGGATTAGGTAAACTTCAAAGAACTGGAAGAAAGGTTTCTAACAGAGGTTAAATCAGTGTTAAAAATAGGAGTAGACAATTATTTGGGCTTGATGAGTTTAATATTTTTAGTTCATTTATACATTATTTCTGTATTAGTAATTTCTGAAGCATCTGATCCTTTTCCTTGTCATGCTGGCCCTATTTTGAGCTCTTAATTACATTTATATGCTCAATGTGGAGACTGACTTTTATGAGAAGATGAAACTTTATACACTGTGACGTAGCCTCTGTGGTGTTTTTTAATGGAAACGTCTACTAAACAACCATTTTTTTATTATGTTCTCTCACAGTCTCATCAGCATTGAAAGCACATGCAAGCTGAAGCAGATTATCCTGCCACGGTGATACATGGGCTGAGCATAAGACTACATGATTTTAGTGCAGAAGATAAGCCAATGATTTGTCTTCCCCGTCCACTGAAATCCCAAGAGCATACCGTTTAATTCTGGTATAATGCCAGTTCATAATAGATATTAAGAACATAAATTTATTCAATGGGGCGAAGAATGTCTGCAGCTGGCTTCTTTCAGATCCCACTGCACACATAAAATAAGTAGTAGTCTCATGTAAGGCTATGCTACGGGTAGTTTCAATGTATTTCTGCCTGCAGAACAAGACCGAGATCCTTGGGAGTCGAAACTGTGCCAATTTGCTCTGTCTCATTCACATGTCATGGCCTTCTGCAGGGAGCATGTACTGCTTTGCTCTCGGCCATGTGGAGAGCAGCTCAGATGTAAAGGCTCGCCTGTGAAGAAAGCCTATGGTTCTCCAAGGCTGCCTGTAACTGGGAGCTGACATCTCTCTCGCCTCTAGAGCTCCTATCTGAAAAGCCTGCTGTGGCCCAGAGGGTAATGACTCAGTGGTTGAGCATCGACCTAAGAACAAGGAGGTCACAGTTCCATTCTGGTCAGGGCATGTGCCCAGGTTTTGAGCTCTATCCCCAGTGTGGGACAGGCAGGAGAATCAATGATTCTCTCATCCTTGCTGCTTCCATCTCTCTCCCTTTCCTTCCCCCTCTCCCTTCCTCTCTGAAATCAAATATATATATCTCGGCTGGAATAGAGAGTATGGCTGAGGTAGAAAGCCACACAGGCAATTTTAAAATGCCTGAGTGGCTTTCTACCTCAGCCACATTCTCCAGTCCAGCCTTAATCATAGCAGTGATATTTTCATCTCTCCCTGCCCGGCTCCTTTATCTCTCTCAATAGATTCAGAACTCAAATCTCCAAGAAACACAGCAGGAAGTCCCTTTCTTTATAACAATTGCATTGTGAAGGAGAGGGATCATATGGAACAAGGTCTCTGTCCATTATGAATTGCCTTCTCTTGCTGTGAACCACTATTGACCAGAATATTATTTTTGGAGTGTGATGCAAGTTCCAGAAATAGAGACAATTATTTGCATTTCTATGACAAACCTTCCACAGCCTCCTTTAGCGTTCCGGACATATATGACCCTTAAGAAGCTTCCCTACCAATTGAAAAGCAAATTCTTCCTTTTGGATGACAATATCATGAATATAACTCATCGTACATTTTTTTTTGTCTTGAACAATTTTTTTATGAAAGCTGTTTCAGGTAACACAGGTAAGATGCAATTTTCTTCCATAATTTCTGTGCTGCTAACTGTATTGTGGTATACAGCAAAGCCTTAGTAATACTTTTTTTTAAAATAGGCAAATATTTCATTATATTGATTATTTTTTAATACCAGAAACTACAATTTTATTATATTCTATTATCTGATACTGTCATATATTATCTTTTTCTTTGAAATTCTCAGTATTTTCTCATGTGGCCTATAGCCACATTCTGTATACTTGGCCACTCACTTGCCCAAATCCTTATTAGATATAAAACATTTTAGCAACACATTTTCATAATTACTTTGACCTCATTTTTTACCTTTTTTTCCTTTATTATGCAGCAACTTGGCTATTCCTTTCTAGAACATTCACTTTCATTTATACAGTGAAGGCTGAGTGGGTTTTTTACCTTGAGTAATGTGCACATAATCCCGTGTGGATCAGATTGCTACCTATACTATCAAAATCACAAGGGTAGCTTGTGAATTATAACACAGAATTATCAAATAAAGAAATGCTATGCTTAGAATCCTTTTATTGTTAAAAGTATCTGATAACTCAGCTATTAAGCAGAATGTTGCATTAATTAGAGTGTCCAGTCCCTAGATAAACAATCCACTACATGTGATTTCACCTGCCAGGATCTAACGCCATGCCATAGACCATCAGATCCTCAGAAGCTAGTTCTTTTGTCAGGTGGCCCAGTGATGCTATACCTTTTCATTTTCAGGACAACACTGACATACAAATTGGCATTTCATCTCAATGGCCTAATTTGGATGACACAAGATGACATGTCAATGTCAAAAGAGATGGAGGGGTGATACTATAATAAAAAAGGAACCCTTGATATATTTTTCAATGTATAAAGCCATGGAAACTGGTTAAAAAAAAAAAACAATAGTAAAAATCCATCTTTTTCATTCCTGATTTATGAACAGGTCTTAAAAATAGGCTTTTCCTTTGTATATTCTCTTTGGCAGCAGAGAAGTGAACATTGTATGGATCTCAAATATGCTACCTGCTGAACAGGGGCTAAGTCATCCACACATAAAAAAAAAAAATGAGCATAAGTTCATTAAGTACGAATGGTTTGCTTTTACCATTGGATTAAGGCATTCTAAATAGTTAAAATATAAGCAAATCCCATTTTTACCCCCTGAGATTATTTAAAAGGTAATTAAACATGTGCCTTTTGTGTAAGGTATTGCTGGCAGACTTCTTTTCTCCCAAGAGAAATTTAAAAAAGGTTAATAGACAAAGACCTTCATACAGTAGCAGAAGCAGGTAAGTGTGGATAATTAACTATACAGCAAAATTGTTTTTATGGAAATCTGTTATGCATGGATAGGTACCAGCCAGGCCTGTAGCACCCAAGGAAGAAATGTATGAGCTATCTACATGACTTATCAAATATGTTTTGTTAAACTACTTTCTTCAGGATCTGTAGCTGTGACATTTCCCCTCATTATAAATATATTTCATTTTAACTAGTAGATCTATCCTTAAAATGGTATGTAAGAGGCAAATTCTTTTCCTTCATTTTCTTCAGAGCCATCTCACCTTTACTTTTGATTAACTTCAAATGGACTGAGCCATCCCCTCAACTCCCAGTAGGTAGGTGATTGATAAATAAGCACTTATACTATAGGGCAATTATTTATATTGCAGTGTTATTCTCCTTGTTTCAAGAAGGGATTTGGAGATTTCTTAAATGGATACTCCCTGAAGACCTTATCTACAGAGTTTTATGGACTAAACTTGTCTTCAAATGTAGAATCTGCCTATTTTGTGACTATAATCTGGCAGTGTGAGAAGCCCAATATTCTAATAACATCAACAGATGGAATAATCAGGCATAAAAGCTACTCAAAGAGAAATTCTTAAGCCACAGATGGGCTTAAAAATAAGGAAGTATCAATTCTCTGTGTGCAGCTCACATTGTTCAGTCAATCAAGTTTAGCTACGGCTGATGTGTAACCCAACAAGGGAGGACTACAGGGGACTTTACAGAGAGTAGCTTAGAGTTCAAGCTTACTAGACCTCCTGTACCAGCAGCTCCTGGTGTCCTTCCCCTTCCTGCTTCTGACTCCAAACCTTGGCTCATAAGTCACAGCTTATTCCTGCTCTAACCTGCTCTCATCTGAAGGCCCCCTTCCCTCCACTCCTGTTCTCTGCAAATGATCACAAATGAATGGTTCATGTCCTGTAAATACCCATTCATCCAGCTGGTGACATGGGGTAAGTGGCTGGATTGTTCACAGAAACACTTACTTCGAAGTCACACCCAGTGCTCTTTTTGATGTCGTCCACTGTCAGGCCTTCCCAGAGTTCAATCAGAGTCAGCCCCTTCTTGCTGTCCACATCAAACACAGCCTGTCGGGGCCAAGAACATGACAATAACGATGGCTGCCACAGTGATTATTTTATAACACAAAACAGAAACAAACTCTCAAGTTCTTAAAGGAGAGACAAGACCCAGATCAAAGATTCTGAAAATCAGCCATGATAAAATGTCAACTGGGATTCTTACATCTTGGGGGGAATAAATGCCAGCTCCCTAATTGGCAATTAGCTGTGGAGCACCATTGATGCCAGGAACCAAAGGAGTGTTGACTATTGATGTCATTTGCTATTATTAAACCAGGTTTTTGTTTTGTTTTAAATACATTTTATTGATTTCAAAGAGGAAGAGAGAGGGAAAGAGAGAAACATCAATAATGAGAGAGAATCATTGATTGGATGCCTCTTGCATACCCCCAACTAGGGATTGAGCCTGCAACCTGGGTATATGCCCTGACCTAGAATCAAACTGTGACCTCCTGGTTCATTGATGAATGCTCAATCACTGAACCATGCCAGCCAGGCATAACCAATTTTCTTTTCTTTTCTTTCTTTCTTTCTTTCTTTCTTCCTTCCTTTCTTCTTTCTTTCTTTCTTTCTTTCTTTCTTTCTTTCTTTCTTTCTTTCTTTCTTTCTCTTAAATAATTACTTTACTTTGGTTAGGTCTAACAGTTTTGGTCAAAATTTCAATTTGATGATTAATAATATTTTGAAGGAAGAAAGGAATGGGGGAAAGTAAGGAGGGAGGAGATATTTGGAAGGTGAAAGCACAGGAATGAGAGGGAAAAGCTGATGGATGCTCCTGGGTTAAGAGTCATAGGAAACAAAAAAGGTGCCTGGAAATGACTCAGAGTAATTAAAGCAAAGAGCTGCCCGGGCCTGAAAGACCTCCATCCCCCCGAAAATACTAAACCTTTCCCTGTAAGTCCTAGTAAAAGCACACAGGTCCAAGAGGGCAGACAGCATAGTGTGAGAATCCATCTAGACTGCAAATCAAATGAAGATGCTTATGCTCAGAATAAGAGTAGGCCAAGCTCACCCTAAACATTCCATTGCAATGCTTTGGTCGGTAACACAAGGTAACATTGGTAAAGCTTGACCTCTGCAAGTAGACTCAACCTGTTGTATCTGATTTCAAACACATGCTGTCACACTGGGTTCTATGACAACCGGAGTGAAAGAGGCCCACAAAGTCACTTACTATAACTTCCCACCCAAGAATTCTTCAAAACATTCTTCTGAAATGGTTGCCAGGGTTCTGCTTAGGAACTTCCAGTGGTAGGAGGCTCAGTGGCTCAGGCAGATGCCTACATGGATGGGAAGCTCTGAGTAGAAGTCACCTGCTCAAGGCAGATAGATGTCTATGGATGGGAAGGGAGAGCCAAGCTGTTTCCTTCAGCAGGTAATTCCTCTCGGGGTTTTCATGGTTAACTTCCTCTTCCTCAAACTTAAGCATTAGGTGGCACAGATCATTCCTCTTCTATAAACTGACCTTAAGTTCAGCTATTATTTGAGGATTCGGATCTTTACTTTCAGCTAGCTTGGAAGTAAACTCTACACTTGTAACTTTGAAACATGCTCCTGGTTAAAAGGCTAATCTGAACACACAGTGTGTAGAAGGAAGAACCTTGGCTTAGAACTTTGCAATCTTTGGTGATGCTATCTTCACCTCTGAAGATGGATATCAAAAAAATGCTGCTTCCCAAGACTGTCATACAGGTCAAAGATACAAACTAATCACATACTACATACCTGGCATCCTGCCTGGACACAGCAGGATGTCACAGGGGCTGCTACTGGAATGCCATTTCTCCTTAACAGTTTACCTTATTGTCACCTGTGTGTCAACCCAAATCAAAACCCCCAAACACTTATTTATCTCCAGTTAATGGACATTTCTCCCCTTAAGCACAATATCAAGGCAACCAGTAATACATTCTCTATTTGTGTGATGAATTCACAGATAACATAGTTGATTTTGGTGGAAAGGTAGATTAAGTTAAGAGAAAATATTTCAGTAGGCTTGCTCTTTGTTTACTCATTTTTATGTTTCTAAAAAAAAACTTTTTTATCAGTAGAAATATTTGTTTTGAGAAGGGGAAAAGGCTCAGTTAGGAATGTGTCTGCATGATGCAATAGTTCAACTCCAAATTGACAATTAAAAAATTGTAATGGATTTTTCCTTCGCAGAAACTGAGTCTGGAGCACTGTTCATACAGATTTATTTTTATCTGTTTTATGAACAACTGTCAATTTATCCAAATGGAAGAAATTGGAGAAACAAAGCATCTGAATGGCACTGTTATTGAGAACAGGCAGGGAAGAGAAGGGGGAGAAGATAGCTGTGGTGTTGTGACCAGGCAGATAAACATATGGTAAAGTGAATTATTGCTTTTAAAAAACTTTTATTAAAACTTTCATCAAACCACAATTAGCTCTCAGGTTCATATATTGAAAAACCAAGTATCTGCTATTAAAAAGAAAAAAATTTACTTCGGAAAGATTTAGAAAGATTCCCATCTAGTGATATAAAGTGTAAACAAAACAATATACTTAATAAAAAATAGAGACTAAAACCTAAGAGCTATACAATTAATTATTCAAGTGCCAAGGATAATATTGCAACTGCTTTATTCACATGGCATATAAATAAATTAATTATTTTATCACCACCATAAAAGGCTCCATTATGGATAAAGAAATTAATCACAGTCTGGGTGCTGGGAGGAAGGCACCTTTCATAACCTTCTTCTAGAAACAGGAAACTTGGAAATCAGGGTCATAACATAGCCATGGCCTCTTTCAAATGGCAAATTGAAGTATCCATCTTATATAAAAACTGCTGTTTGAAATTTTAATCATATTGTTTTAGTTTCTGTAAACGCTTGCTTGCTTAAATAATAAGGAAAATAAGACTACATTCCAGAGAGGCCATAAACCTTCTCCAGACGAAGTTATCAGTGCTGGTGCCAGGCCAGGCCTTTGGTGAGGTCTCAAAGCCCCAGCACATAGGGTTCTTTAAGAACTTGCAAAGGGGACCAGAAAACCCCATATTTGGGAGACGAAGAGGGTAAAAAGATATAAATAGGAAAACTTCCTCCATGTTTTTTGCCCAGAATTTGAGGACATTTTTCTCTGGGCCCATGTATAATAATAATAATAATAATAATAATAAATGTAACTCCATCTCTCTAAGCGTTGCTTGGTTCTTCTCTGGTTTCTCTGTCACAAAATGAATGAAATTTTCCATAAGTGCTGAAAACAGAATTCTAGCCCCAAGTCTGCTCCGCAGGGCTGTACACATATATCATCTTCAGTGGCACTGCATTCTCATACTTATCCAACAGACATTTACTGGGTGACTACTGTATAGAGCACAGGGGTAAACATGTACCACTCTTCCCTGAGGTACCCAATATTCCATACCTGGCTGCCTGTCACTCAACTCATTTCTGCTACACACTGTCACCTACAGTTAAGGCTCCAATGATCCCTGCATGCTAATGGCTTCCACAAACCTGTTCAGATAGTGATTTCTCTTCTGCACTCTAGATCCACATCTACAATTGTTTGTCAGAAATACCTGACTGGATGCTAACTGTTCAAGAATATTAACTTGAGAATGTCCAACCTGAGCCTATTCTTTTCCTGCCTCCCATTGTTCCGCCCTTTCTCCTCCTACAGTTCCAGACGTCACTAAGCAGGTCAACCACCCACTCCAGCCAGAAAATGTAGAAATCTCCTCTGCTTTAGTGTCTATGTCCACATCGTCGAGTTAGGCTGAGATCCTCATAAATCTCTCAGATATGTTCCTGTCCTGTGGTTTAGGACCTGCATTTCTGGCCCAGGGGAGTGGAGGGGACGTGTGACTGGCCTCTGACTCATCTCTTCTCTGCTTCCTCTACTCGAAAGCTATAGTGCTCTTTCTAAAATGCAAACTTGGTCAACTGTGTCCATTAAAAATTGCTGAAAGGCTCCCAACTGCCTTCCAGATAAAACCCAAATTTCCTAGCAAAGCATTCGCATTCCTTCATAATGCGCCCCCTCACTGTCTTTTCAACATCAGCCTTCACTCCATGCTGTTCCATCAGTGGGTCCTCGCCTAGGCTGTGTTTTCTTAACACCTCCCAGGCTCTACCTACTTTCTTCCCTTTGTCTAGAAGTGCTTCTTTGATTTTATTCTCACATAAATAAAAACTCCTAGTTATCACCAAAACCGGTTTGGCTCAGTGGATAGAGCGTCAGCGTGCAGACTTAAGGGTTCCAGGTTCAATTCCAGTCAAGGGCATGTACCTTGGTTGCGGGCACATCCCCAGGAGAGGGTGTGCAAGAGGCAGCTGATTGATGTTTCTCTCTCATCGGTGTTTCTAGCTCTCAATCACTCTCCCTTCCTCTCTGTAAAAAGTCAATAAAAAATATATATTTTTTTTTTAAAAAGCAACTCCTAGTTATCTTTCAAGACTCACCATTCAATCTATCAGTTTTCTCATCAAGGAAAATATAATACATTGATTTAACAAGCATTCCCTGTGTCCAGCAAGCACCATACTGAGTGCTAAATAGTGATGAGTGAGATGGCAGAGCCTGGAGGTCATGTCAATACAGTGGTCAGTGCTAATCAGAGTAAGTACTGGGATTCAGAGAAGCTCCTGGAAGACTTGGGGAGGGACAGTGAAGACTTGTCAGAGGAAGAAAAAATAGCTGAGACATAGAGATGAGCAGCAATGAGCCAGATGGATGGGGTGGAGAGAGCATTCCAAGGACAGAGACAAGGGCAAAGTACCAGAAGAACACGGTGGGGGGGTGTACACAGTTGGAAGCATTTCGTATGGCTGAAGTGGGGACCATGCTAAGGCAGAAAGTGGGAAACTGAAACTGGAGGAGAAAAGGTACAAACTGTAAAATTCCTTGCAAAACACGTTAAAGCTTATATTTTACCACCTAGAAGCTGTCCTTGACACCCTCCCAGGCTGTCGGGCAGCCTTCCTGGATGTTCCCTCATCAGCATCTGGTGTGCATCTCTCACAGCTGTTCCAGGTTTACATTCTACCTGCTGCTGCTGCCGCCGAGACCACACTCCGCCTTCTGAGGCTAATGCTGGGGACAGTCTGGTTCAGAGAAGGTGGCTTCATCAAGACACGGAATTGAGAAGATGACACCCTCCTTGCTCACTTATGAGAATGATGTCTTCCCACACCCTCGGCTCAATTCTGAGTCAGAAAGAGGAGGGCAGACACCTGCCCAGGAGGCTGCCCACTGATCAGAACAGCTTCCAGCGGCACCCCTGGCCAATGCCCCGTCTAAGAAGAAATCGATGTTGGAGTCATTGAAATGTGGTCAGTCCGCTCTCTGACAGGGGCTGGGACATGCAGGAACCACAGACGAGGTTCACGGTGGGGCCTGTACTATGATGTGCATCCAAATGTCTAAAACCTATTTTTTTCTGAGCTTCCTAGAATAAAAGCTAACCATTTGTACATGTGGTTTGGGAAAGCAAAGAAGTAAGGTAGAAAGGATAAATATAGTCTTAACTTTGCATATATATCACCCGTCTCAGCAGTCCAAGCATAATGAGCAATAAAACTCACCTTGGATTACATCACAGTCAAAATTACAAAGGGCAGCAGTTCAATTCTGCGTGCCTATGCCCATTTCCAGAGAGTTGCACATTAAGAATTCTACTTTTTGAAACATTGACCTGATACATTTCCCTATTTAGTCTACTCAGGAACTATACTATGTACTAAGCTAATCCTATGACTATCGATGTAAATCACTTTCAGAGCGTAACAAAAAAACCTGTAAAAATGCTTATCAAAATAAAGGTGGAGGCAGACATTAGAGGGAATAGAAGGAGAAAGAAAGGCATTTACCTTTTCAGTGATGATGCGGTTGACGCACTGCTTTCCAGTCAATGGCAATGTACATTTCTCCATGATTTTATGTGTATTTCCCTGTTTTCAAAAAGAAACATCAAAGAGAGAAGTTACGATTGATGCTCATCTGGAATTGATATATCTGCAGGACAAATAGGAACTGCCCCTCAAGTGCAGGCTGATTCCATATCTGTGCACTCCCAGGCTGCCACTTTCATTTCTGTCCCTAAAATAATTCAGGGACAACACCCAACGAATAGCCAAAGGCCTAAATCAATTCCTTGAAAAACACCCTGCATGAACTTTACTTCTCACGTCCTGGTCCTTACATCACGGAGCAACAAATTTCACTTCTAGTATCCTGCTTCTTTTTCTCCTCCAGGGAATGGTCTCTTTGTCAACCATGAGCTTTATTTATTTACCAAGGACAGGTTGGAAGCATACACGGAATTGCAAATGCATACTATCCCCTTTGAAATTCTTTATTCATTAAAAAATTAATATATCAGCAGAAAACAGCAGTCCTTATCTCGTTCAGTTTTCTTAAATCAATAGGAATCAATTTCAATTATTTTTAGCATTGTCTTTTAATACTTCTATACATTTTCTTCTTAACTCAGTATTTTAAAATATAATGTTGGCCATGAAATTTTTATGGATTAATCAATATTAGTTATCTACTAACTTCTTATTGGGGCATATGAAGACTTAACACTTCCACAAAACCCCAACCTCCATCATCTTCTTCCAGTTTCTACCCAGTTATTGCAACTTGTAGGTAAAACTTATGGTCAGAATTTACATCACACTGACAAAACGACCATGTCAAACTGCTCATTGCTAGGCCAGGCAGTGTAGTAAACCATTATTAGATTCTCTTTCTTATACAGCCATTTGCTTTTCCTGATAAGCAAACATTTGCTTTTGTTCACTGGTAAAATGTGTGAACTGGCCACATCCACATTTCCCCCCAAATTTCCTTTAGACACAGTACACTTTCTTCAAACATAAAATAAAAGAGGGATTCAGTGTGGGTTTTGCCCATTAGCTTCCCTGCCCACAATTCCCAAATTCCCTTTTCCCCCTAGAGCCTCCCCCCCCCCACTCCCACCCCTGTGGCCCCTGAGGCACATCCGTGGGACACAGTCGAAACATCAGCCCAGATGATGATCTGCTCCTCAGATCACTTCCTTCTGATTGTATCAGTTTCCTTTCTAAGTAGCAAGCATCAGGAGCCCAGACTAATCTTCCCCTTGAGGCTGAAGGCTGACCTAGAACATCTATTAAAAATAGCTTGTCAGCTAGGACTGGTTTGGCTCAGTGGATAGAGCGTCGGCCTGTGGACTGAAAGGTCCCGGGTTTGATTCCAGGCAAGGGCATGTACCTTGGTTGTGGTCACATCCCCAGTAGGGGATGTGCAAGGGGCAGCTGATCAATGATTCTCTCTCATCGATGTTTCTAACTCTCTATCCCTCTCTCTTCCTCTCTGTGAAAAATCAATAAAATATATTTAAAAAAAAAACTTAAAAATAGCTTGTCAAAGGTCTTGTATGCATGCATATGAGCATAACCAATGGACAAAGACACTAGTGGGGTGAGAGCATGTGCTAGGCATGGGGAGGCTGGGGGAGGTCAATGGGGGAAACTCCTTTTTTGGGGTCTAAAAGCACCTCACATGATGTCATCAGCATCCTGAACCATCTTAATGTTTACCTACTACAACGTGCACCTGCTACCTAGTTTATAACTCTCTGAACACTGCTCAGACCAAGGATGTGCTATTCGGAGGCAATGGCCTAATTAAGAAGCGCTGACTCCTTGTGATAACCTGCCAAGGCATTAACACACCAGTAATTAACAGGTTTTAGTGTACTAAATCCAATATGTGGCACAGAAGGAATTCAATACTTTTGAATGAATGAATGAGATAGAAAAGGGAAGTCTGTTGGGAATCTTGTATGGATTTAAAAGGGGGAAAAAAGCTCTATTATTTTAATTTACTCAAAACTAGTGCTAAATACATATAAAGTGGTTAGACATTCTACCTTTAATAACAAGTTACATGCTTGTGGATCTTACTGTATAATAAAATTTATAACTGTAGAAATAAAACCTCATTTTCACTTCATTCTTAATTACCTATTTTCCTTTCCCAGATTCAATGGAAGTATGCACGCGTCATGGAAGCTTAATTAAAGAGCTGAAGTTAACGATAAATGTGTGAACTTCTACAGTTATCAGGTCTCCTTATACTTTTTAAAAATATCTTTTTATTGATTTTAGAGAGAGGGGGAAGGGAGAGGGATAGAGAGATAGAAACATCCATGAGAGAGAAACATTGTCGGGCTGCCTCCCACATAACCCCTACTGGGGATCAAGCCCCCAACCCAGGCATATGCTTTGTCTGGGAATCGAACCAATGACCTTTTGCTTTATGGGTCAATGCTCAACCACTGAGTCACCCGGGCTGGGCAGGTCTCTTTATATTTAATGTAGCTGAATAAGGCCTGCCACAATGAATCCGTATCTGTCTGTGAGTGAAGTGAACAATCTGTGAGCCTCTGAAAAATGTTCTCTGCAGGGAGCTCTTCATCTATTCTCATTATTTGAGCCAAATCTACATCTAGTGTGATGAGACAGATACAAGTGTCCAACACTCAGCAAGTGCTCAATGAATGTTAACTACTACTGCCCTGGCTGCTGTGGCTCAATTGGTCAGGCATCATCCTGTGTACTAAAGCTTGCCGGTTCTATTCCCCTTCAGGGCACATGCCCAGGTTTCAGATAAGGGGCGTGCAGATTGATGGGAAAGCTTTCACATTGATGTTTCTCTCCCTCTCCTTTCCCCTCTCTCTAAAAACAAATAAAAATATTTTTAAATAATGTTTGCTGGTACTTACATTGAACACATTACAATCTGCCAGCTCTTAAATTCCCATATAAAGTTGGACATGTAATTACACAGAAAATGGCCTGAACACAATTCCTGGGACCCATGAAACTAATGAAACCATGACAGTCGGGCAGACCATATGGTTGCCTAGAAAACTGCACCAAGTGTGACCCTACAAGGTGATGCCTTGACATTTAGCTCCAAGATATAACACAGAGCAAGGAAAAGGAGAAAACGAAAAGCAGAAAGCTTGTGGAGTGTCACAATAACCATATTCAACAATAGGTTAGCTAGGAAGCCAACATGAGATTCACTCCCACTCTGGGGCTCAAGTCCCACCACACCAGGCTGGGCCCTGCACTGTGGCATGGCATTTGCATAGATTAATGATTCACAATGGAGGAATCATAGCTGAGTTTTTCACATTTAAAAATAAATCGTAAAAAAGAGATGCAGTATAGTTGGTAGCAAAGAACACTATACATTAGAAACCCAAAGACCCAGTTTTTATCCACTCTGCCATTTCATAGTCATCTGGCCCCTGAAATTCCTTGTGCTATAGTTTTCTTCCACCGCCTTGTCTTTCTGACTTGATCACCATAGAAATCAAATGAACTGTTGGAGACAGTGTGGTGCAGGAACCAGGAGGGGTTGAGCTACATGTAAAATCCTAAGGTTAGCGGGCCTTGTTCATCCTGATCATTCTGCTTCTTTCCCCCACAAAGCAATGCCAGATGAGGCAGAGGATGTGAAGTGTAGCATTGAAAATGTTGAGGGCTCCTGACCTCAATGTGCCCCTCTGTGCTAGCTCCCTCATAACCTCGGTGAGGAGCGGAGTCTCCTTCCTCCACCTGCTTTTCCAGCTTTTCTCTTTCTCCCCTTTTGTCACTGATAGGCCTCGTGCAAGACCCAGGAGTTCACCCTCTTGACTTTAAATAACTTGGGGCCTCAGTACTTCTATTACTAGCTTCATGGTGATCTCAACTTAACACTTTAGTAGAAGACAATTCTGGTTAAATGATAATAAATCCCCTTGTTATCATTGCAAAAGCTCCATGGTATCCCGATAAACTTAGTCCTGAAAAACAAGCTCTTTTCACGTTTGCACTTGATGACAAGATTTCATTCACCTGAGGCAGCAGAGCATTCCCACTCTATAAGAGCTTGCTTTACATCAAACCCCACTTTATGCCCACATTTTCCGTTCAGTGCCTCCTAATGTGGTTGCAGCTTATGTCCCCTTGGAGGCACCTTCTTTGGGAATGCCCTCGTGATAAGTTGAAGGTAAATTCTGGAAGTTGGTTGTTCCTTAAGAGACCAGGTCTTGAAGCCTCTGTTCATGAAACACACATCACCGTGCTCCCCATCACCCCACATTCAAATGGCCACACCTGCCTATTCTTCAGGACTTGGCTCAGGTGTCATCTCCCTCTCCAATGCCCCTGCTCCGGTGTCCACAGACACCCCAGTGCTTCCCTCTCTCACCGCACCGGCTGTCACCGTTGATCTCCCTTCACACACCCACCCCAACACTAGACTCCAGCTCACTGAATGCTGAGATGATTTACATCCACTTCTGTGCAATGAGTGGAGTGCCAGGCAGCCATAGTGATCAAAACTGCTGTCTGAATACTGTCATTTTGATTTGAGGAACTCAGAGTCCTCAAAGTCAGAGCTGTAAACCACCATGTGACTCAGGGTTAGAGACCACTCGAGGCTGCTTTCTGGTCCTAAGACACACATCTGTACCATACCAGCACCTCTGAGATCACTAGGAAAAAACAGCTAGGAGTGTGTGTGTGTGTGTGTGTGTGTGTGTGTGTGTGTGTGTGTGTGAGAGAGAGAGAGAGAGAGAGAGAGAGAGAGAGAGAGAGAGAGAGAGAGAGAGAAGAGAGAAAAGAGAGAAAAGAGAGAGACAAGGGACTTGTCAGACTGAAAGAAAGACAAAGGCATGATCAAGGGAAGAAGCACAGACATCTCATGACTGCAGAATGACATGTGCAGATTTACACTCAAAGAAACAGTGAATTACAGTCCCTCCACCGCCTCTGCTGCTCCTCCTAAAGCATCAAGGCTGCATCCATCCCCTGAAAAGAGGGGTTCCAAGGGCAGAACTTGGCAAGAGAAGACTCAGTACCTTGTCTGGTGGCACAAAATCTACCACAGCCTCTCTGGGCTTGCCACC